TGTCAGGGACACTCTGGACCCTTCCCTGCCCTGCAGCGTATCCACCTCTCCCCCAGCTTAGTGTCATGCAAATTTGCAGAGGATGCAACCTATCCCCTCAGCCAGGTCGTTAATCAAGATGCTGAACAAAACCAGCCCTAGAACTGATCCTTGGGGCACTCCGCTAGAAACCGACCGCCAACCTGACATGGAGCTGTTGGTCGCTACCCGTTGGGCCCGACAGTCTAGCCAGCTTTCTATCCACCTTGCGGTCCATGTACCCAATCCGTACTTCCTTCGTTTGCGGGCAGGAGTCCTGTGGGAATATTGTGGTTCTCAGCCAGCACGCCTGGTTTTGGTGGGACGGAAGAAATAAAAGCTGGTTCCGAGACAGAGGGGTGCCCAGGGCCGCCCAGGAGTGCAAGAGATCAGGCTAAGAGGTTAAAACTGGCTGCTGGGTTGGCGGCACGTGCGAGGGAGGCGGGGACTGGGCCAGTGAACTGTAATGCTTTGAGTTCGATGGGTCAGCTGTCTGTTGCTGGCAGATCTAGAGGGTGAGGTTGAGGGCGCGGCCCTGGGAGCAGCTGGGCAGCTTCCCCAGGCTGGCGCTGGCATCAGCTGAACTCCCATTGTAACTGGAAAATCTGCCCTCCACCCTGGGTGTATTTCGGCTACCGAGTCTCGTTGGTGCGACCCGCTGGCAAGCGGGCGCGACGGGGGCCTGTCCCTTACCCACGCCCATTCCCCAGGCCGGCTGCTGAGCTTTCTCCCAAGCTGGTTTAGTTCGGGAGGTTCGTTCCTGGGGGTGTCAGCTGAAGTGGTGGCCATCAGATTCACGCTTAGGCTCTGGCAGGTATATACAGAACGTACAGCCCCGTGCACCCCTGGGAGCCAGGGCCTTGTGCAGGACGGACCCACAAGCTCCGTGGGCACCTGCACAGAACTCCCTGAGAAGGCTGGGTGTGTATGGGGGGGGGGATTTGAAGCTCGCCTCTCTTCCCTTCTCATGCTCTTCCCCCCCCCCTGGTGGAGACGCATCTGACTCGGATCCGGAACCTGGAGCAGCAGCTGAGACAGCGAGACGGCAACTCCTTCCAGAACCTCAGCTCCCAGCTGCAGAACCAGGAGGTCCAATACCTGTCGCTCCATGGCAGCCCCGGCCTGACGCACGGTGAGTCTTTTGATTCTGCCTGGGTAGAGGGGTGGCCTTCCCCAGCCGGGATTCTGTGCAGCGCAGTCGGAGTCATAATTAGGATTGGCTAATTCGGCAGTTCTCAACCCGCCACCCCCGGACTGCTTGTGGGCCAATCAGCAGGCAGCTGCGGCCCATGTGACGTCCTCAGAGCCATACAGGTAGTCGATACGGTGCGCGGACCTGACCCGCTGACCGTGCAGAGAGCGGCCCAGGATGGCAAAGTGGTCGAGCCCCACTGGGCTAATCTGACCCTGTTAACGGTGCCGTGGGCTACGGAGGCTTTTGTTCTGTTTCCGTCCCCCTGCTGCTAAGCCCGGCTCCTGGCCAGACGCCTCTCCAGCGCCCCACGGGGTTTGCTGGGCCGCCCGCTCGAAGGCAGCGGTTCCCAACCTGCTGGTCCGCGTACCCCTGGCTGCCGGGCCACGCCCATGGGGGCAGGCTGGGGGGCGGCCCCACGGGCTGGCGGACAGAGG